AAAAAAAAAAAAAAAAGATTATTGGGTAAATAAACAAACAAAAATAAATGTCCGATTTTATGCTGCCTCATTTTGAAAGCACTTAATGATCCGTACAGTCTCTGACACCCACAGGGGGAGTTCTATCCTGCCCTACAGTGTTGCTATCAGTCAGAATCAACTGGGCAGCAGTGAGAGTGAGAATGTGGCAAGGAAAGGCTCCACATTGGTAACTGTACCACAACAATTTAACACCATCTTGTGGACAAAAGACAGAACTGTAAAGCTACAGTACAAAAGCAGAGTTTATGACGGATTAGGATTACATAGTTTTTTTCGGTTTTTTGTTATGTGTTTTTGTCATTAGAACCTTTATTAAATCACACAAAGTAAACAAATGTGTAATTCAACGTCCCTTCTGTTCTCAGAAAGAAAAAAGCTCACTAGTGTGTTCCAGGAATACACCAGTCAAAAAATTGAGTTAGCTTTGAATGATCTCAAGGTTTAGCCAAGGAACACAGGAGAAGAAAAGCAAGAATAAAAGAATACAGATCTTTATTTCCTATTCCGTTAGTCCCCCACCCCGCGTTAGTTTCTAACTAGTCCCTCCCCAGTTTCCGAAGAGAAACTGTGAATATTAATTTTTGTCCTATTTTCACAGCATAGAGAAAGCAAATATGATTGTGAACTGGAGGCAAAACCTCACAAAAATTCCTCTGTTCTTGAAAATATATGTCCCAACATAAATAAGATATTTTGGTTTTGAATTATGCCTGACTGGTACGTAAGATATTTCAATCAGTGGTCCTCCAATTTACATGGCAACCAAAAGCAATCATCCGAAGAGGACTTGAAAAATGAGTATTTGTCCTCCAAAAAGGTTGAAGGTAAAATCAATAACTCATGGTTTAGTCTCACCTTAACAAATCAAATAACAATATGTGGTACACTTTTCTGATCCGTTGAGAACATTTGCAATAACCTAAAAAGTCACAATATGCTTTGTGACTTCCAGTGCTTCATAATTATTTTGCAAGATAGATTTATACACCAAAAAACCAAACCTGTTGCATTGATTCGATTCAGGGCCATGGTGTCCGATAAGAAGAAGAACTGCCCCACAGGGTTTCCATGGCTGCAATCTTTATGGAAGTACATCTTTCTTCCACAAATAGCTGTGGATTCAAGTCACCGACCTTTTTAAATTTTGCGGGCAAATGCTTAACCATTGTGCCATGAGTTAGACACATTTTTTTTTGAAACAAGGACTATCATTATTATTAGTTAAATTAAAATTCAAAGTCATTAACATGTCTTAGGAAAACACTACAATCCCTTAATTAAAAGCACACACACACACACATATATATACATATATATGTAGACATTTAATACACATTCTAGAAAAGTGCAACCTACTCTAATTATGTCGCCATTCTCTTTTGTGATTAAGTAAAAACACGAAACAGTGGGAATAATTAGTTTGTCCCTAAATCTATATAATCTATAATATTGAAGAACTTAATTTGAGGAGTTAATATAAGCTTGTTTGCTATTATCTATTGTATTCAATTTTTCCAAAAATGTACAAAAACTTAAGTTTTTGCCACAAGGTTTTAAAAACATTTTAACAGACTTCCTAGATATACTGGTTCATTTTTGTACCACAAGTCTGCTAAACCTTGAGACAGAAGCAGAAAAATATAATTGAAGTACTTTCTCTATTTTGTTGAAAGTACTAATTAATATTAGACATATTAGATTATGTGCAAACAATAAATAATGAGATGGCAAAAGTTTTGTTGTCTGGAACTCCACAAAATGTCAAAAAACATTGGCTCAGGGCAGGTCATCAAACAATGTGGATACCTGAAAAAGGGACTGGGAATGAAGAGGGGCAAGAGACGCGAGAAATGGAGGCAAGACAGGAGTCTGATCAAGCCTCGTTTTATTGAGCAGAAGGCAGAGGCTTAAATACCCAATGGTGGGCGGGTGACATTACATCATATGCTAATAAAGTATAACGAATACCCAATGGTGGGTGGGTAACATTACTTCATATGCTAATAAAGTGTAACGGGTAGTATCCAATAATCATGCAGCTACAATATGGAAGAAATGGCAGGTATCAGTCCTCAAACAGGTCCGCATGTAAATGAGGTGCACTTGGACAGTACACATGTAAATGAGGTGCACTTGGATCCCTGGTGGAGGTGTCCAATGAGCATGGCGGCTGCCTGCCACCGAGCACCAATCATCACAAAGGCCAAACTCAGGCAGGACAATAGGCCAGGGAACATCCGGGAATGGGAAGCTTAAAGACAGCAGATGGCGCAGGCCATGGGCTGAGGGACATGCAGACTCCCACATGTGCAGACTCCCACAAGGCTCCACTCTGACTTTGAAAGGAATAACATCAGAGTCTGCTGAGAGAGAAACATTCCTATGACATGTACAAGAACTCGCTCCTTTGGCGGCTTCATCCATGAAACTCTCATTAGTTGATTCAGTTATGAATACAGAGACCCTAGGGGATATCAAACCGTGAATGTGCACACTAACCCAAAGACGGATTAAAGTTCATGCAAACACACCTCAGAAGAGGAGCCAGGTAATCTACTGAAAAACAAGCCACTAAAAACCCCATGAAGCACAGTTCTGACGCATACGGCACCTCTGTCAATTTGTGTGGATGTGAGGGTAACCAGTTAATTATGAATACAGTTGAAGAAAATACCTGAGGCTCTTTATTTAACGTCTTAAAAACTTTCCCACATCTCTTCATAGTTTGCATGAAATAAAGAAGCTGACATAGCGTACGTGCATACATACAAGGGAGACTCAAACACTTATAAAAATAAATGAAAAGATCATGTCATTTCCCCTACAACATTTTGCAGCCCCCTCATACATGAAAGTTGTTAAGGAATGTAAGAACACAGTCCTACCTGAGGGTAAACTGATGCGATGTCCATCTCTGAGTTTTAAACGACTTCTTTTAAACTTCCCTTTCCTCTTTTTCACATTGGGCTTCTCCTGATTTAACTGGAATATCATAATGTTAAGCTCCCGCTCCAGCACATCAATCTCGCGTTCTGCAAGTTTCTGTTCACGCCGTTTGAGCAACTCTTCCTGAGACTTCTGCTGGAGAGCTGCACGAGTTAGCTCCTCTTCCCGGGACCGCAGCTCCTGAGAGGACAAAGATTCATACCAATGCACGTCACTTCCAATAGCGGCTTCATTTATGTACTTCCGCACAACACTCAGACTGCCCCTAGCTGTGGGACTTCCATGCCAACCGAGAAGCTGAGATATCCTCTCCCGGGTCCTTCAAAAAGGAGTCCTGCTGGTGTCGTTAAGAACCGCTGCTATAGGGTCAGAATTCACTCTATGGCAGTGAGGTCATTCAAATACACTCTACAGGGCAGAGTTCCTCCTAGCTGAGAAAATCAGAGCGAGGGCCTTAGACTAAACCCTAAGCAGATACGCAGGCTCAGTCTTGCTCTTTTACAAACTCTATGATTCTAAAAGAGGAATAACAACATTTAAAAACCTACTATGACACTTTTCTCTTGACCTCGTTTTATAAAAACTTGCCACATCAAATGTACCTTAGCATGTTTTGATGAAGTATAGGTGTGGTTCTAAAATAAAACCAAAAGTTAAAACATGACGAATTAAAAGGATCATTATTTTAGTTATAAAAGACTGCAGGTTTTATCTTTTTTAAATTTAAGGACTTCCTTAGGGTGCTTTGAGGAGCCCTGATGGAGCTGTGGGAGGACTAACATCAAGGCTGGCAGTCAAAACCCATCAGCTGTTCTGTGAAAGAAAGACGAAGCTTACTCTGCCTAGAAAGATTTACAGCTTGGGAAACCCTGTGGAGTAGTGCTACTCCGCACCATAGGGTCAGACTGTGAGTCAGACCTGGCTTGTAGGTTTAGAGCATTTATGGTTAAAGCACTAGGTGCGAACGAAAAGATTGTGGGTGGGGGGGGATTAAACCCTCCAGCCACTCCATGCCAGATTGATTTGACAATCACCTTTTATAAAGATGTCCGGCCTTGGAAAAAATCAATGGGGCAGTTTTACCCTATCTTATATGGTCCCTAGGAGTTAAGATCGAATGGACCACAGTGGGTTTGGTGCGGAGGTTGAGAGGGTTTAATTGTTTCTTTAGCGATTATTACATCTTAGGAGTAAGATAAAAGGGAGAAAACAAAGACCACGGGTTATAAGTCGGTTGTAGACCCACTGGAATGACTTCTCAAAGTATTCAGCACACAAAGAGTTCTTCAGGACCGCATACACGTAGGGGACACATCACACAACACGCAGATCTCACAGGTGAGCTTAAAAAAGCTCATTCACCATGATACTTACCAATGAAAGTTCAACTTTCTCTTGGTTTTGGTTTTAGAACGATTGAGTCTATGACAAATAGACTATCTATGAATTTTATTTAGGGAGGTGAAAGAGCTAGCCGGCTAGTAATCAAAATACTAGAAATATAACGTGATTTAAGATTTCGGTTGTCAAAGTCTAAAATGTAACAGCCTCTTCACTTACAGTAAAAGTTCCTTTTAAATGTAATCAGTCGGGATGGTCTTCTAACTCAGGAAGCGGGTGAGCAAAGCTATTAAGATTGGTGGCCAGGCATAAAGCATCCCCCATTTAGATCAGCAGTGCAGCACGGTGTTTACGGAGATGGTGGTCCGCCAACCTCTGGAGAAATGTATGTACAGATAATAGCTTCCTATGGTCACTGCAAACATGCTTTTTGTCAGAGTTAGGAGTATCATTTCCTGTGATCACTGCAAAACTAGCTGTTGTAACATAGTTTGGGGTATACTAGTATAACTTGCTTGATTTTTCACGAGAGTTTTAATCAGTTTGGAGGTAGCAAACCCCACTGCTTCTGGCATGCATCCACAGAATATTTTAAGAGTTTCTTGAATCAAACTGGTCTCTGTCTTTGAAACAGTGGCAGGCAATCCTGGACCTTTGCTCCCAGCGTGCCCCCCCCCCCCAATTACTTTAATCCCATTAGAAATGTATTGAACAGTAAAAATTGAGAACTCTTCAACATTTTCAAACGATGACTGCCATCCCCTACCATTATTTCATTTCTGCAAATTGTTCTTTGTAGAGAGGTGCATGGTTCTTTCAGTGATGAACTGTTCTCTACTTTAGATTACCCTGTTAATAAATCAAGGACTGGCACAGAAATCAGGGCATGCATAAGTATTGATACACAGCTCTGACAAATGGCATCTTAATTTTATACTACCCTAACACCAACACTGTTGTTTAAAAATAGTAGCTGTCTTCTCAGATGGAATGATAATCATAAATAGAGCAATGAGCTTTGCCCAAACATTTCCTATAAGTTGACCACATTTGGAATAGGCTAACCTTAAAATATGGATTTGAGAAGAAACCCTATATAAATTCACGAAAAATACTGGAGTCAACCACGGGACTAAAACCACAATTCACAGTGTCTTGGATTCTTTTTACAGGTGAGTTCAAATGGTGGTTAAAGTAGATCTGTCAGTACAAATAACATGAAGAAAAATAAACAATAACCATCTTCCTACAAATAAATATGACAATATCAATAAACATTGTGTGTGTAGGGTCTTAATAGCAAAAAAAAAATACATTCAGATCAAACTAATACTGAATTTATGATAATTATACTGAAAATGACTTAAACCTCCAAAACATTCTCTTTTTTTGGGGGTGTGTGTGTTCCAGACATACTACATGAACAAGATTGTGGGAAAATTATTTGCTAAGAACGATTGATGCACAAATCACTATGCTAATATTACCAGCTAATTTGCACTTCTAAAGGAGACATTTTCCTTCCTAACACTGTGCCAAATATAAGTTATTATTTATTATTTAACAAAAGAAAACTGCTACACGCTAAAAAACGTTCTGTAATACACGTATCACTGACGGCTTTTCTCAGCCAGTGTACCCAAATTGGATTATTTTATTTTTGTATATTTGGAGGCAGCCGATAATTTCCAGTCAGTTTTCTACCTGAACTCGTTGACTGGGTTACATGTTGGGCTGTTAACCGCCAAGGTCAGCAGTTCAAAAACACCAGGACCTCCTCAGGAGGAAGATGAGACTTTCTACTCCTAAAGCGTTACTCTCTCGGGAAGCTCTCCTCTGTTGTATGCATTCAAATAAGCTTCAGGGCAGTGAGCTAGTGAGTAGTGAATGAGTAGTGAGTAGTGAGTGAGTAGTTAATGAGTAGTGAGTGAGTGAGTAGTGATTAGTGAGTGAGAGTAGTGATTAGTGAGTGAGTAGCGATTAGTGAGTAAGTAGTGAGTGAGTGATTAGTGAGTGAGTAGTAATTAGTGAGTGAATAGTGAGTAGGTGAGTGGAGTACTGAGTGAGTAGTAAATGAGTGAGTAGAGAGCGAGTGAGTAGTGAGTAGCGAGTGAGTGAGTAGTGATTAGTGAGTGAGTAGCGAGTGAATGAGTAGTGAGCGAGTAGGTGAGTGGAGTGAGTAGTGATTAGTGAGTGATTAGTGAGTAGCGAGTGAGTGATTAGTGAGTGAGTAGTGATTAGTGAGTGAGTGAGTAGCGAGTGAATGAGTAGTGAGCGAGTAGTGAGCGAGTAGGTGAGTGGAGTGAGTAGTGATTAGTGAGTAGCGAGTGAGTAGTAATTAGTGAGTGAATAGTGAGTGAGTAGGTGAGTGGAGTACTGAGTGAGTAGTAAATGAGTGAGTAGAGAGCGAGTGAGTGAGTAGTGAGTAGCGAGTAGTGAGTGAGTAGGTGAGTGGAGTAGTGATTAGTGAGTGATTAGTGAGTAGCGAGTGAGTGAGTAGTGAGTAGCGAGTGAGTGAGTAGGTGAGTGGAGTGAGTAGCGATTAGTGAGTGATTAGTGAGTAGCGAGTGAGTGAGTAGTGAGTGAGTGATTAGTGAGTAGCGAGTGAGTAGGTGAGTGGAGTGAGTAGCGATTAGTGAGTGATTAGTGAGTAGCGAGTGAGTAGTGATTAGTGAGTGAGTAGCGAGTGGAGTGAATATTGAGTGAGTGAGTAGTGAATGAGTGTCTAACTTAGACTTTCCAGGTGGGCTGAGGTTTTTGACCTCTTGCTGAGAACTTGCCTCTCTAGCCTGCTCTGATAGATGAGATGGTTTGTGGACTAAGGAAGGGAAAAACCCAAATCCAACTCATTGGGAAGCAAATTCAATTGGACCTTTTATGTATCAATATAACAGTAATTGATTAAAAAAACATTTAAAATTCGATGTTCCAAGCTAAAATGCGGATCCTCACCATGAATTTATGAACAATCACTTAAAAAGCCCACTTGCTAAAAAATTAATCAGATTTAACAGCAAGATGAAAGAGGAAAGCAGCCCAAGTCATCTTCCTTCTGAATAGATATTTAAATACTCCAAAGTAAAAGAAAAAAAAGTCCAATGCAGAACCCTTTTAAAAACTTTGAAATTAGGAAAGTTAGAAAGCACTCTTTAGTTGAGATTAATAGCAGCAGTATTTAATTGCCTGGCACAGGTCATTCTAGTAATGGAAAATCCTGATTCCTGGCAACAGATGTTAATTATTAACAGTGGCATGCCTTCTATGGCGGCTCAGAGGCAGGTGCATGCACAAACGCACCAAGACAGACACACAGAGATAAGCCAGGAATGTGGGCAGGAAGCAGTATCAGTGAGGCTACAGGCTACTGAGTAACACGAATCGCCAAGAAGTTACTGCCCATTAACTCCCAGTCTGAGCTTCCTACTTTGCAGTCAGCAAGAAAGGGAGATAGAGCACGGATCTTGTGATTTTTTTTTTTTTACCCCATCAAAAAAGGACAGAGTTAGAAACGTTAAGCAAAATTGGACATTCTACAATTATAATCCAAAGGCTTACAAGGTTGTGTGAGTGTTGTATTGAATAGAGTACCGCACAAAGTCAAGTAAGAAGAAAAAGCAAAGACAGCTATTAAACAATCAAACACAGTTATCAAGGCCTTTTTGGCTCATCTCCACCCTGTAGGATGGCTCAACACCAGTCAAAATAATCACCCACAGAGGATTGATTCTAAGCCTCTGGAGGAGAAAGCACAGAGACCTGGTCTTGAAGCAGGCTTTGATTTTCATACCCCATAAAAGAATCAATTCATATACCTATATTCTACAGTTTTCATCAATAAT